CTTTTTTTTTCCTTAAGAGCTGCTGTCCCAGAAACAGGGCTGCATACTTCACCCCATCCTACAGAGGCTACAGAGGGCCAATCAGCATGGCAACTGTTTCAAAGTGAGATAGGAGACTGATGGCTCCCAAAGGAAAGACAGACCAGTGGCTGTGCCATACGGACTTCAGTTCCTGGACATTCACTCCTTTGGGAGAGAGTTGAGATGGCTGCTTTTCAATGGGTATAGCCTCCCTACAACCTTGGCCTTATTTCCCAGCTCTTAGAGGGTGGGTAGCAAGCAAACTTTTCCAGTACAACGCTGTGATTCTAGGTGCCAATAGTGCACTTGGCCATGGAGCTGTTGCAGGAAGCCTCTGGGGGAGCCTCTGTGTTTTTGCGTGGTTATGAGTTGCTAGGTCCAGGATAACCTGGGACAGGCTGCATTGCTCACCAAAGTCCTTAAATGAAGTGCTTCACCGAGGGAACACAGGGTAAGCTTGCCCAGCTTTTCTCTTGGGGTTGGCAAAGCCAACTGCGTAGCTGCCATGTCAAAGACCTCATGCAAAGTATGTCCAGCTGAAAGCATGGAACGACTTGGTCAGACCAGATGGCTGGGCAGTGTAGGAGGGAGCCAGTCATCGACCAATGCTTATTTAAGGTAATCTGAAACATTTTTTAATAATAATTTCATTAAAAAACTTTACACCTGCTTCTAAACAGAGGAGCCAAGTCTACATAACTACAGAGAATTTCATTACATTGGAAGCCGTCTTGCACATGTTTTCTTCTGTGGTCGAGTAACTATGCTCCCAGGAGTGATCGAGTCAAGACATCTCAGGATGCACTGCATCAGTGATACCAGGGCCAGCCTGGATCCTCAGAGAACCTGGAATCCATAATGTGATCTGCTTGATTGCTGGAACAACCTGAAGCCCCTCCCGCAGCCCCAGGGAAAGAAAGTCTTGGGCCAGCCTCCCTCTGGGTGTGGTCCCTCCACACAATGACATGATCTTCCCTGCTTTGACTGGAGGCCTCTGAAGCCACCAACATGTCTTGACAATGGCTATCTGGCTCAGAGAACTTTCTTTATTTGGCCTATGGCTGTTGGTATTTGGGGTTATGTATCTGTCCTCAGCCAAACAAGAAGGGCAGTCTGTCCCCACAGACCCCCTGATGCCAGTGGAGATTAGGGTATGCTTGGAAGGCATCCACGCAACACAGTGGGGGAAATCATTGTGCGGCTGCTATGACGCCTTCCCCACCTCTGACTGGGATTATTACCACAACCTGATGGTCTCCCTGCTTCTTCCCCTCTGGTCCCTTCAGTCTGTTCTCCACACAGCAGCCAAAGTCATGCTGTTCAGACCTGAGTTTCTGGACCTAAGGGCTGAACATTCAGATCCTGGCACGACTCTGCTCAGAACCTTCCAAAGGTCCACACCTGGCTCAGAGTAAATTGGAAGCCAAAGTCCTCACGAGCAGCTGTGAGGTCTCACTGAGTCTAACCTCACCTCCAACTGCTCTTCTCTTTCGCCTGCCTGCTCAGCCACGCCAGCATCCTCGCTCCTCCTCGGGGCCCTCATGCTCACCCTTTCTTTGCCTGACTGCATGGCTTGCTCCCTCACATCCTCTAGACTTGCTCCAGTGTGATCCGCTCAGCATGACCTTCCCCGTCCGCTCATAGCCTTCCTAACCTGCTAGCGTCCCCTCCTCCACTTCCCTGCTTAATTTTTCACCCTAGCATTTGTCAGTGTCAAACATACCATAAAGTTCACTTATTTATTTCATTTATCATTTGTCTTTTCGGGACAATCTCTGGGAGCAAGGATTTTGTCTAATTTGTTCCCTGTAGAATCTCCAAGATCTAAAGAGGGTCTGATATATGATAAGCACTCAGTGCATATATGTTCATTAAGTGAATTACATTATTTAATCCTTTTAACAAATTTGTGAACTAATACACAAAAAACGGTGGCTATGTCTATTCCACCATTGAAGAAAATAAGTCTTAGAGAGGTTAAGTAACTTGCCCAAGGTCACATTGACAGTCATTGATGTTTCTTTGGCCTCATCACTTACTGCAGGGCACTGTGACATGGTTTCTTCTGCCGTAATACTGTGTCCCTAAAACCAGCCTTCAGGTACAGCCCTGCCACCTCTAATGATCCCTTCTCCCTTCCACACCGATTCCTACAGACTGAAGTTATCAGCATTCCCACCAGCATTTCTCTTAGCCTTCCAAAGTAGAAAACGATACTTTCCCATGTTATGAATCACTCTCTGCCCACAGTGGACCAATGAAATAAGACTTTAGCTGGCCCAGTCAGATACTAAAGAGAAATCCTAGAAATCAGAACATTCTGAGTAGACTTTCTATAGCATATTGGGTATGATATGTACCTTATAAAGCTTTCTTATTGTGTGTTCTTGCTGACTCCTTCAGGTAAGAACTTTGACCCTGGACCCAGAAAGTCCTAATTCAAATCCCAGCTGTGCTATATGCTAGCTGTGGACCAAAAGAAATCTACTTAAATATCTCTTTGACAAGATGTCTTAATCTATAAAATCATCCTTAATGCAGAGGGTGACTGTAAGGAGTGAATGAGATACATTCATGAAGCATTGGTGAATCTGATAGAATGCACAGAACATTTAGGTATAATAAGGAGATGGTAACATTTTTTTCAAGAGTAGGCATCTAAAGAGGTTCACCTGAGCCAAGTGGCTTGTTGCTATTCCATAGCCACAGCTTTACTCTTGATTCCACAAACTACCTAATAGACAAATCCTATATCAATACATTGGCCCAAGTTAGAATGTGACTTAATTCATTATTATGGCTAAAAGCAACAGGAAATCATTCAATCACAAATAAACCAAAAAACTTCAGTTAACAAACTTCCTCTATGTCCATTTAATTACTAAGTTATAAGTTAAAAAAAAATGTCCCCAGGGATCTTACCAGTATATTTGTGGAAATAAACACCTATATGGGAAACAAAAATTAAGAGTATTCTACAGTAAGTGGATATAGCCAAGAACACAGTAATGGCCACCAGCTCTAGAAGGGTAGAGATCTTTCTCAGAAAAAGTAGTCAAGGAGGTCTCAGAATGGAGGTCATACTTTGGGCTGACCTTACATATGAACTGGATCTGAATAGGTGGCAGGAAAGAAGATGTGTCATTGGAGGAATAGGTTAAAAGGTGAGGCTTTAAAGGGAGGTCAGAAGCTAGAGGGCCGTGAATAACAGTTGAAAAACTCTGGCCTTGATCCTATAAAAAATGGGGAACTGGATCAATATTTAAGAATATATGAATGGCCTGGAGTCAAAGGAACTTGGCATGTTGGAGCTGGAAGGGACCTCATCCAGGTCAGCCTCCACCTGGGACTGAGGAGGGAACCAAGGCCCAGAGAAATGAAATGACTTTGTCAGTCAATCAATGATGAGACCGGAACTTCAGCTCAGGTGTCTGATCCCTAGTCTGGTGGTCTCTTTACCATGTCATCTTCTAAAGGGACAGCACATCCATGGCTCATTTCTTAGGTCATAAAACCAAGAAAGTCATATATCTCCTCACATGTGAATAAGCCATAAATGTGCAGTGCATACTTTCTATTGCTAAATTTTAAAATAAGCCTTACATGGTCTGAGAGAATTAAGTCCAGTATTCTAGTGAGCAAAAGAGAGCAGTAAGAGTTAACACAGGCATCTATACTTGCTTTTCCAATAGTCTGAAATCAAATGATACCTTTCACATTTGCTCCACTTTCCCTTCAAATTCCACTTCTTCCCCTCACCAGTAAACAAAAGGTCCTAATGCCAGGCCCTGTCCACACCATGTCTGAGTCTTGCAACTAGGTCTTGGCTTGCCAACAGCCAAGCATTCTCTTTAGAAACTAGAACTGATTAGTCCTTGATTAGAATAAAATTTGTTTTTATAATTCACATCTTGAAATAAAATTTAAACTTCTTGGTGTATTGAGAGGAGCCAAATAATAAATTGATAGTGAAACTGTTGTCCCTCCATAGGGCCCAGGAACCACATGGGAGTGTGATTTGTCTGGACCAGGAGGTGATGATGGGCCTGACAGTATGATGGGCTGAATGCTGGATGGCAATCAGTCTAGGACACAAAATATGTTTTTCCAGAAATTATTTCCTGGAAACTGAATGATCTCACTGTACTAAACACTTGGATGTGCCTTCGTTTGTATGTCTATAACATACGGGTGGATAGATGGGTGGGTGTACTAAACGACAGGATGATCTTTTAGATACATTGAAGTCCTATAATCACTTTATTAAATTTTAACCAAAATGTCTCAAAGTCAGTTTTTCAGAATTCTAGTCATTAGTAGAAAAAAGTCTGTGTTCTTGCATTGTATATGGCTTTATGCCTCATACTGTAGCCCATACTTAGAGATCATAGTGTAGCAGCTTACTGAAGGCTGCAAGTTCTACAGTAAGTAAATTGTGCTTAAATAGCTGTTGCCCAAACTTATTTGATCATGCAGTCCTTTCCTTTCACCCAAGAAATTCCTAGCCTAGTTTTATCAGCAAGGCATTAATGAGCGAAAAATAAAAGAAGAATACCTGGGGGAATCCGGCAAATTCCTTATCTGCTACCATGGGAATATGATCCAATAAATTATGGGAGTAGTCTCTAGAGGAGATGAATAAAAGGTGTTAAACAGGATTTATAGTCACATAGGAAAGGTAATATGAAGGGGTATCTATGAAAAAAGTAAGCATGATTTATGTTTTGACATTCAGAAATGGTTCCAGAGTAGCTTACCTGCTGGCTTGTTAAAAGAATGTTATATCAGAAAGTGTAGCTATTCTGAAGATAAATCTCTATATAAAACACATATTACGACATTTGTACAAATAGGTTCAAATACCATAAAGGATTCATAGCAAATCACCGAAGTCTTGTAAATTCCTTGTGATATCAACAACCCCCATTTGCAAACCATGTTGTGAATAAAGTCCAGCTATTCTGAATTTTTACTGTCAGTTTACAGATAAGGAAATGAAAACTCAGAGATGCTAAGTGGAGGGACGTTCACCCAGCACCCTGGGGCCCCTTCCTCCAGCCAGCACCGTAGGCTGCCGCTGGGTCACGTGGAGTCCCTTGCCAGGAGAAGAAGCTGCTTCCTGGATAGCCACATACACTCCTCAAGGTAAGGGCACAACACTTCATCCACCTGCCTGTATTTGAAGCATATCCAGAGGGCTCTCCCACATTCAGGTTCTTCAACCTCCTGTAGAACTTTATCACCGTCCGCCTTGTGCCTCATTACAGTCCGATTTCCCTCATTCCCTCTTAAGTGTGGATCTCCAAAGTCTCCCTCCAGTTAACATCCTGCGTGCAGATCCTTGCCTCAAAGCCTGGTACCTGGGGAACCCAACCTAATGACTTTATTTAACTTGGTGAAAGTCACCCTACTAGCAAGTAACAGAACCTGAACTTGCACGTAAATTCCATGCTCTGTCAGCAACCCAGGCTGCCCCTTGGCAGGTAGCCTATGAATGAATGTGACCCCTATAATCACATCTCCTGCCGTTAGACACCTTATTAACTAGTCAGTCATGCTGGCCTCCTTTGCCTTCCTTAAACACATCAAACCCAATCCCATCTTAGGGCTTCGGAAATTTCTTCCTCCAGATCATTGCCTGACTGGCTCTTTCTTGTAATTCAGGGCTAAGCAGGGTCATCACCACAAAGACGCCTTCCATGACCATCCGATATAAGGTAATCCCCATGTTCTAGTCCTTCTCTAGCGCATCACTCTGCTGTATGTTCATTCTAGCATTTAACTACTCTGATATTAGCTTACTCATTTATTTGTGTCTTGTCTTCTCCCCTGGTGCTTGATCTCCAGAACAATGTAAATCTGATGAGAGCGGGGACTTTGTGAATATTTTAGGTGCTTTGAACAGTGGTTCTCAAAGTGTGGTCCGTAAACTCCTAATCAAACTATTTTTGTAATAGCACTAGGACATTAAATGTCTTTTTTACTCTACTGGAACTTTGCAGTGATTGTGGGAAAGCAACAGTGGGTAAAACTGTTGGCTGCTTAGCACGAATTTAGCAGCTGCATCAACCTGTACAAGCAGTCATTGCATCCCCACTAATGTCCTTGCAGGAAAAGGAAAAAAAGCCAGCTTCATTAAAGAATGGATGAGGCAATACAAATTATTGTTTCAAAATTGTGACCTTTGAGTATACGTCCTTTCAATAGTCCATGTGATAAAAGGGAACCACGCATAAAGCATTCCCCTGGGTAATGAAGTATAATGATTGTCTTGAGGTAACGCATTTGTGTGATTGCTTGGTTACGAGCTGCGCTAGATGCATTTTTCAGGGAACACCACTGCTACATGAAAGAATGACCAAGCACAGTCAGGCTATGGTTATTTATATTTGGATATCTGGCAGGCATTCTTTTGAAAATAAATGAAAATGACACTTCAAGGAAATCAGCCGAACAGCATAGGTGCCCATGCTAAAATCCAAACTGTCAAGTGAAAATTAGAACTTTGGAGAACTTAGATCTGCCACTCATCATTTTCACAGCCTCCCAATACTTAAATATTTTTCCGATGAAATTGATGATGATATGAACAAATGTATGCTTTTAAAAATGTAGTACATATAGCATCATGTGATGTGTCAACTTTTAGACTGTCTGAATAATTCAGTGAACTACCATTTTCCAAGGGAACATTGCAAGAAGCTACAAAATTATGCATGGTTAAAGGATCCATTCCATATGCAAGACAGACCAGTAGATTTAATGTAACAGAATATGAGAAGTTCATTAATATGGTTCAAATTCCTCATTGCTACTAACTTTCAAGAACTTAGTGTTAATTGAGTTTTATTTTAGCATCAAAGAAACTTATCCAGAATTATCTAAAGGGTGATTAAAATACTTTCGCCTTTCCATTTACATAACTTTTCTTTATATACTTAACCAGAAATAAATTTTCGTTATATGCTTAACCAGAACATAATATCGTAAGAGACTGGATGCAGCTGTCAGATGAAGCCAGATACTAAAGAAATTTGTGAAGATGTAAAACAGTGTCACTTTTCTCACTAATTTTTTGTTTTGAAAAATATTTTACATTTATAGATGTATTTCTGTTAATATGTAATGGGTTTATTGTTAACTTCAAATCAATCAATCAATATTTCTAAAAATTTCTTGGTTTTCATTTCTAAATTGGTAAATATCGATAAATATAACCCATATAAACAAAAGCTCTTTGGGGTTCTCAGTAATTTTTATGAGTGTGAGGGGATGCTAAGACCAAAAAGTCTGAGAGCTTTTGGCCTAGAATCAATGCTGGCAGAGAGTTGACATTCAAAAACTATTTATTGCATGATTCCAATATTTATAAAAGGAAATAGATAGGTAATAAAAATGCACTCCTAGATGGATTATAGATGGTGTCTGTGCACATTACAAAAATAGAAGATTGCATTCATCTGAGTGAATGAGTATTCTTTCCTAATGGCTCAAATTAGGTACCTGTCAAGAAAGCAAGTATCCATCTCAGGTTCAATGGGCTTGAAAGGAAATCTCCATTTCCTACAGACAGCCAAATTCTCAGGTATTTCTAGAATGTAGGAAGTCTGCCAGCTTAAAAGTGGTTCTCATAGGCCTTGTCTTGGCCAGTAGTATTCTTTACCTGTAGCCAAGGAACATCTATGAAAGGGAAGAAGCCAGCACAGCCACAGATAGCTAACGGGTTCATATCTATGTTTGACCCATCAGATTGCCCAAAGACATGGCAGGAAATGCTGTTTGAGCAGGAAGTCTGCTTTGGAAACTCAAGCACTTGAAGACTCTGATTAATGGAGATGTATTTAGTTCAAAAAAAGAGAAGAAAAAGAAATCTTTTTATTTGCAACAACATGGATGGACCTACAGAGTACTGTGCTAAATGAAAAAAGCCAGACAGAGAAAGACAAATACTATATATGATTTCACTTATATGTGGAAACTAAAAACAAAAAAAAATGAATAAACAAGCTAACAAAACAGAAACAGACTCACAGACACAAAGAACAGACTGGTGGTTGCCGTAGGGGAGTGGGGTGGAGGGATGGGTGAAATAGGTGAAGGGAAAAAATTAGTGAGGATGTTTGGTATCTTAATCTGTGTGATAGTTACATGAGTGTATGCACATGTCAAAATTCATCAAGCTGTACACTAAGATGTGTGCATTTTATTGTATGTACCTCAATTTAAAAAAGGAAAAGAAAAGACAATACCATAAGCCAAAAAAATCAAACAGAACTTCATAGTCAGGAGCACCAAGCTTTCCCTCTTCCTCAATCTCCCCTCTCAAGCTAGTGCATGATAACCAGACAGAGGCACAAAAATTAAGATAATCAATGGGCTGAGGATACAGTGTCAGTGCCAATATGCTGGAAACCTGAAATTAAGAAGCACTGAAATGAGCATCCTAAATATTTAGGTTCAGAGAACATAATGGGGCTTTCTGCCCAACATTTTCTGAAGCTGGCCCTGAAACTTTAGACAGTTTGAAAATGGGCTTATTCCATGGCTGCCCAGATTCTGAGCAATAATCCCGAGCAGTTTTCAAAAGAGGAGTCCAGGAGGTTTGCTTCAAATTTTGGAACAAGAAAATTGCTTATATCTAAATTCCAGCAACATCTTGATTAACTGGAATCAAAGTAGAAGACATTTCAACTAAACAGATACTTTTTATCCTTCATTTAAAAAAAATATAGAGGTGTTAAGAAAACCAAGTGACATAAATCATTTCATAAGGGGGAAAGGACTACTTGCAGAGAGTATTTGGGGTCAGACATCCTTTCAGCTCATCTCCTGTACATTCACTGCTCAGCACAATTGATACAAAAGCAACGATGGCTCACAGTGATGACTCAGAGGCATCAGAGACTCAGGCACTCTCCAACTCCTTACGCATCTTACAAAATAAATAGACACCATTCATTATTGAAAACTTTTTATCACGTCTGGAGATAACTGGGAAGCCTATGAGGCTTTTAAAGACTAGACTACAAACTATTGTGACACATTTCCCTGGCGTGACACAGTCACACTGATAGACACCATCGGTTAACAAAGTTTGTTACTAATAACAGCTGAGATATTGAAGGTGGATAGAAGATCATCTGTATCATAACAAAAAAGAGATAACTTTAAAAAATTTAATGTGCTTTCCTCTCTTTTTCTTCTACATACTTGGCCTTCCCTTTATTTGATCTGGTCATTCATTTGATGGGGAAATGGAGATGTCACAGAGGAGTATCTTCAGTAAATGTTCATTCAAAATATGATTTCAAAGCAAGAAAAAAGGTGCAATACTGGAGTTTTTGTTTGGAAAGTTTTCTAATCCCTTTATCTTCCTTTTAGCATGGGCAGTTCCTGGAAGACCCAACTGTAAGACTTCCCTGTATCACCCTGAGGCATAGATACATCAAAGTAGACTTGACAGGGCTGTGTAGTCAGGTTGAAGGTAACCTTGTGTTGAGGTGTTCTTGAAGCTTCGGTTCCCATTTGGGTTACTGTGGAGTTGACAGCCAATAGACCTGTGTGGCAGGATCTTTTATATGGCTGGCGGGTGAAATGAGCCTGTAGCAGATGCTGGGTGGGCCTTCTCACCAGCAGAACAAGAGGAAGCCAAATTAGCAAAGAGGAGAATGGACAGTTCTCCCCAAGAGCACTGGCCAGGTCAGAGAATGGTTAGCATTAGAAGCCAGCCAGCTCTTCCCCTGCTTCACAGGTCACTTGAGCCACCTCCTCCCATCTGGACACCTGGATTTCAGGGAGATAGTCAGAAAACCAGAAACTCTGAGACACTAAGGACTGACGAAAGGGACTATTTTAATGAACAGACCTGGAACTTCGTTTTCCCCCCTGCTATCAGGAGGCAGATTGGAAGTAGTTATAGATAAAGTAATAAAATTATATTTTCCCTACACATTTGAGTTGCTGGGTGAGTGAATCCAACACTGAAATTGACTAGGATTTCAAGGATCTCTGGGCATCTTGTATCTGTGTCTTAGATGAATGAACACATGCCCAAACTGAACAGGGAAGCATGTCATGCAGATGTAGAATAATCAGCTGAAGGGAGGAACAGAATTAGTTCTCATGAAGCCTCTTCTTGAATTCTGAAAATTTTTAAAGACTGATTGTTATTCCAGAAAAGAAAGCAGAATTCCAGCTGGAGCTGAGATCATCCATTCACTGACCTGGAACTTCTCGGACAGCTTGGAGAAAGAGATGGGACTCTACATCAAGGTCAGAAAGAGCACTGGTAATACTGTGGACACCAAGGCCTCCCTAAGAAATCCCTGGGAGGCAGAGTGAGAGCCATGCTGGTCTTGCAAAAACTTGCTCAGCTGGTACTGCTTCCTCTCTCGAGTCAGGCAGGTAGGAGTCTGGATAAAAATTCTAGGAGGTTGGGAAGGGAATGTGATATATATAGAGAGAGAATTAGGTTAGGTTATCAGCCATCCTTGCTACCACAAATAGGCTCGTCACTCCCAGACCCACTCCTTTTATGGTTTAATTCTGCAAAAAGATGGTCAGTCTGCTCTAGTGATGAGCAACTTGGGGGGAGTTCTGGAGTCATTCATTATCAGCCGGAGAGCAAAGCCTCTTGGGGGAATTTATTAGTGACCCCTAGTGGTCGGAGGTGAGATTTCATCAGCGATGGGGTTTACCAGGACAGACTGGAGGGCTTGGAGGATGGAAAAAAAAGAGATTCTAGTTATAGACCTGAGCACAGCCTGAAACAGGGTTGCCCTTGGATGCAAGTAAAAGTTATTTTGGGGTTTGCAAAATTTTACCAAGGAGGGAGTGAAATGGGGGTATATTTGGAAAATAAAAATGTGCTTTACTCTTGCTTTTGCCGGTACATGGCTCAGCATATCCATCTGCAGAGTGGAGAAACTAGGAATGGTATACAATTAGGTGCAAAGCAAAACCGCATTCATAGTTTTCAAAATTGGTCCCTTTTGTAATAACCTCCCTGCCACCCATTTGCATAGCAATGTGCTTTCTGGAGTGTTGAAGGGCGGAGCCTGAGTCTTAGCCGGGAATTATACATAGATTATACACATGCTGCAGTTGGTCTCATGTATCTCACAGTGCTTGATCTTGGCACATCTTAGGGCATCTGTCAAAAATGTAAGTGACACCCACCACGTGTGCTTTGGCAGAGAAAAGATGAAGAACAACTGCTTCAAACAACAAACCTGTAGTTTGGATAATGAGCAGCTTGGAGAGAGATTAGGGCTGCAGTGGGGAGATCTAGGGCTGGACACATGATCTCAGGCAAAGAGCTTCCCCTCTGAGCTTCAGTACTTCCTTTCGTGGAAGCGGAGTTGAAGATGACTTCTAAGAGATCTTGCAGATGGAAGAATTATGAGCTCTTTAATGCCTCAGAACTTAGGACTGAGTCCCCTCACAAGCCTCCAAGCATGCCAGATGAGACCCTGCTGCCTCCACAGGATGATGGGGGATGAAGGTCACTTACTTCCACTGCCTCCAGCCTCCGCTCTCTTGTCAGGCTTCCCCACCCTGAACACCACAAAATGCTCCAGTATCAAAAGTGCTTTCAGTTAAGCTGATACCAGGAATTTATGCTTTGGTGTGAGTTTAAACCAAGTATTACGACTCCTAAGGAGGATCTGAGTTCCCAGCCACCTTATACATGGCCCCATGAGATAAAATGCCTTCAGGCTGCTGTCCTGCCTATATTCTGTTTCCTCTGCTTGAAGCATGCCCTTCCTATTGTCCCTCACCAAGCCCCAGTCACCTCAGGCCCTCTTCCTGGTGAACCTGATGGTCCTTTGAGACAAAGCCCAAATAAATGCCATTTCTGGTCAGGCTTTAAGGCCACAGCCCCAATGGAGCTAGGCTCTGGCAGCCTGAGGGGAATGCCAAGTCCCCCTGCTCCCCTGACTGCCCCCAGACTCTTCACCTGGCTGACTCCCAGTAAATGCTCACTCCAAATGTCACCTCTTCTTAGAGGCCATCCCTGAACAGCCTGAACTTCAAGTCCCCTCCCTCAGTTATTCCTTGCACCCATGGCTTTGTACACTTACTGTATTTATCTAGGTATTTCATATTGATTGTCTATTCCACGAGAAGGGGAGCTCCAGGCAGAAGGCAACTCATCTCATTCACTGCAGTTTCCTGGGCGCCTAGAACAGAGCCCTCGGCTTGTTTACCCAGCTACTGGCAGAGCTTCGACTAGAATCTAGATCCCAGCTCTAATTCAGGCTGTCCACCCAGAGCACTGAGATTAGGAGCAAGGGCTTTGCAACCAACCTGCTCTTGGCCTAGACCCTGGTTCTGCTGCCTGGTAACCATTTATCACTGAGAAAGCTGGATCAGCTCTGAGCCTCAGTTTCATATCTGTCAAATGGGAGCAGCTGTATCTGTCTCACATAATGCTGGACAGCATTTTGCCTAATGTCTGGCACATTGTTTGACTCAGCAAATATTAGTCATCACTACTATGACTTCTATTATTATCTCCTTCCTAACTCCAGAGTAGTTGGCTTGCTCCAAATTTACACACTGAATGCTGAATTGATTTGGTGAGAGCTCAGACCCAAATTTTGGCCTCTTGAGCCTCTGTACTCCAGCCACATGCAACCCTGCCACTGAACTCCCAGAAGGATGGTTGACCTGACCAAAATTACCCCTGGCTTCCTAAAGTTAGTAGACCTTGAACACAGTGCTTTGAGAAAGGGTTGCTCCTTTTAGCAGTTTTCTGATGTGATGAATTTGGGGGTTCACCAGAGAAGCTCTCTGTCCAGAGTCTTGCGGATGATCCTATTAGGAGATGACAGTACCCCCCTGCATTGGTGACACACAGGGTGGGGGATGCAATTGAATTGCAATCTTTCTGAACCTTCAATGCTGCAGTGGGTTATTCTGAACCTTAATTGTCATCATTGTGCCCACTGTCACTGAGCTGGGCCTGTAGACAGGACCCCAGGAACAAGGACACCAGGAAGTTAACTATAAGCATTCTGTTTACCAGGCCCTGACACCAGCTGATTTCTTACCATATTTTTTTAGCCTAAAAGCAAAGAACAAAAGAAAAGAGTTGTCTAGTTAACTACGAGCTGTTGCTCATTGGGTTGTAGTTAACTGATGTCTACCATCATCCACACTGGGCACACCATTATCTCCTTTGTCTGAATTAAACTGGAAGAAGGAAAAAGGATCTATTTTTTTTTCCATTTGATTTTTCATTCTGTGTGTTGTCATGACTTGCAGTGGTCTGTAAGCCCCGCCCTCTGTGTCTGTACCCATGGCTCTGGGTGAGAGATTCTAGAGCCCACCTACAACATTAGCTGTTTTGGACCCCAGCTAAGAAGGTGAATGTTTCTTTTGTTCAGTTATGCAGTTTTCCGTATTGCTGGAACAGGCTGGTCCCGCTTGCCAGGGGGACCTAGGTGGATTGACAGATTAGGAAAGAGGCTAGAAGGAAAGGGGGCATGAGGCAAGGTGGCAGGAGGGTCTGCAGGAGGCAGTGAGGGCAGGAGAGGGATGGCAGGGCTCACCGGTGCTTGGCGGGGAGAGCATGCAGTGTGAGCGCAGGGCTGCACTCTTGGCCTAAGAAAACCCTTGCAGGGGCCTAAATAAAACTTTTTAACTCAAAAAACTTCAGCAGTAATGAGTTCCAGCTGTGCAACAGAGTGAATTCCCAAGTCCAAATAGTTTCCCTAGAAAGAAGAAATTGTGTCTGCCCCCACCTCCTTAACTCTTTCCTCCCTGAGGGAGAAGGATGCCCAGGTCTACTGCCTGGTCCCTCGGAGGTGGCAAGGGCTGAGTGGCTCTGGTGGTCTTTGCAAGGTGGGCCTGGAACACGTTCATGCAGCCTCCCCGACTCCCCATCACACCCCTGAGATAGGCCAGGCCTCTGTCCCTGCTGCTCACCCTCAACCCTATTTCAGTCTTTACTTCAGTCAGGAGTCTGCTGGCTAAATCTTGCCCATTGTCTGTTGCCTGGTTTTGTAGATAAGGTATTATTGGGACATAGCCACACCTCTTCACTTATGGCCTATCTCTGTCTGCTTTCCTGCTACATTAGAGTTGAGAAGTTGAGACAGAATATGGCTTGCAAAGTTTCACACATTCACCACATGGTCTTTTATAGTAAAAGTCTGTGAAACCCTGATTAAATAAAATGTTAAGTCTACTGGAGGCTTGCTCACCCATATCTTTATTAAAGCTTAGGTCTTGTTTCATAGAATTGAGTAAACAAGTATCCTCAGAAGTCATAGAGTTGAATATGTTAGATAAGATACTGAAGCTCCCAAAGTAGAGGGACTTACTTGTCCAGGTTTAAGTAATGGTAGAATTGGATTCGTATTGAGTTTCCCTCCCCGCCCTGCCTCCCAGGCCAGTACCCTTCCCACCAATTGGATGCTTCTCCAACAAGCCACCCACACACAAGTGAGCCAGAGTGACAGACAGGTCTTTGCTTTCCACAATCAATAACAAAATGCTCGCACTCAATTTTTTGCAGAAGGGACACTTGATTAAGATCTTTTTGCTACGTTTTGCATACTCTCTGCAAATGTTTTGCAATGTTCTAGTGTTTTCTAAAACATATTTTGTAACTTGTATGTGCAATGATCTAGTATTTTAATGCTTGCATGTTTGTATCTGATGATTGAATCGTTGTTGAACCCAGGAGGGAGCATAAAACAAGAACAAAAGCAAAAGCACTCTCTACTCGCTTGATCAGACCCTGTGAACAGTGGCAAGACCTTGCATAGTAATTTTAATGGGCTACAGCACATGATGGGTACAGAATAAGTTGTTTTTTAGCTAAATTTTAATTTAACTTTTCCCGATACTCTCTGAAGGATGCATTTTGACTCTGATCAAGTAGACCAAAGTTCTGAGAGAGCAAGTGACAGATTTTTTAAAAATGTATGCATTTCTTCCAATTTCTTGGAACTTAAATAATATAATAACACAACAGAGTAAACGCAGAATTAACCAGAGTCAATCAAAATTGATTGAAATTCAGTTTTGGGGTCACCCTTTCCATCACTTAACATTTAAGGGAAAGAGCCTTATAGCATCAAAACAAGGGGATGGGAATTTAGTTCAAGAATTGACAAAGCAACTTCTGGAAAATATCTCTGGAGTCATTACAGACATGAATGGGGAAGATGAGTCATTGCCTGGGGTCCCCACATTCTGTTAGGTATATGCCCCGTGGGTGACTGTGCAGTGGATTCTGGGAAATAACCAGAGAAAAACGTGGAGTCACTAGCTGGAGCTAAAGAAGAGACAAGACTTGTGTTCTTGCAACAGGCCCTGAATCAGACCATCCCAGGCACGAAGGCAACTTGAACTTACACCCACAGAGTTCTGAGCTGCTACCAAACTGGGCTCTCCTAAGAGCACTCTCACTCTGTCTCAGCGGGTAGAGGGGAGTAGTTGTGAACTTGGTAACTGGATTCTCTGGGCTCAGATGCTAGTTCTGCTCTTTATCAGCTGCATTAACCTTGAACAAGTTACTTCCTCTCTGTGTCTTTGCTGCCTCATCTGTTAAACGAGAATAATAATAGTGCCTGCCGGTTAGGACTGTTCTGAGGTGTAAATGAGCTAATACATGTCAAGGCTGAGGACAGTGTCTGCTTTCTCCAGGGTTATGGACACACTGCTCCTTCAGCCTGAAACACTCTCAGGCCACTGGGGCAGAAAAGTGACTTTTGCTGACTCTTCCCCACCTGGCTTGTGCTTCCTGCCTATGGGTTCCTGTGAAGCCCAACACTACTACAAGGCATTTTATCTACTTGTCTGATTCTCACATTGGACCAAGTACCCTGAGAATAGGAATTAGTTTCTTAAGTGTCCCAGGGCCAGACACAAGGTC